CACATCCAGCATATAGTATACAGTTAACAGTTTTTACTAATGTTCCCATCATAATTATACTACTGCTGCTGGGGTTAATTTTGGTGCTAATGATGCATTAGTTTTTTCATGGATTTTATACACCTACTACACTGCAAGCTTCTGAAAAACACAGGTGAGTTCTTATTTGTGTCTCCAGGACTCAACAGAAGTCCGGGCATCAATTGATGTTTCAGGAATGCTTCTTAAATCATTGAATGAAACAATGGACTTCTGGACTAGGGGGTAATAATAAATCACATCACAATCAGACTGTAGGCTAACATCCTATCAGAAAAAGCTATATTGCATTTGTACATTACTTCTCCCTTTAAAATATGTCCCTCCAATTTTGGGGGATGATGGCAATGGTCCAAGTCACTACCATATCTCAATATGAATTCTGGCAATATCTTTAACTTGTCTTCTTTCTTAACCCTTGCTCACGGTCTTTCCTCAATATAGTGGCCAGAATGGTCATGTTACTCCTTTGCTCAAAACTCCCAAATGACTCCATATGTCACCGAGCAAAGTATCATATAAGGCTCTCCTTAGTCCCTAATCAACAGACTGGGCAGTCCTGCCTCTATTCGCTCTTGCACACTCACTGCAACCATAGTGGCTTCCTTGTCACTCACCAAACATGCCAGGCATTCTGAGCTCCACATCTCCACCTCAGGGTCTTGGCATGTGTTCCTTCTCATAGGAAGGCTCTTCCCCTTGACATGCAAATGACATCCTCTCACTTCCAGGAATTTGCTCCAGTTTTACACAGAGCACCTTTTCCTGCCCTATTTAAAATTGCGATCCAAACTTCATCCCCCCATTAATTATCCCTCCCTACTTCATTTTCTCCAATATTTATCACAAACTATCATGCTCTCGACATTATTTGTTAAGTATTTATTATTTTTCCACTAGAAATTAAGTTCTATGAATATAGGAATTTTTTTTCCCCCTTGCTGTTTTAACAAGACTTAGAATAGTGCCTGGGACCCAGTAGGCACTCAATAAATGTTTGCTGCATGAATAAACCTTGAATTCTAGTAGTTTCTGAAATGTGGTTACTAATACTAACTGAGCTAAGTTTCATGATCTATGTGACTTATAGGTCCCGCTATATTGAGATGCTAACTAGTTGACAGAGTTGTTTTTGTAAAAGATACCACACAGATATGTGGCATGGCAATTTGTGCTCTCAAATATCTCTGTGTTTCCCTACACATCCTGGCCTCCCCTGTGATTGAACTGGGGCAACAGTCTCAGAATGCAACTAATTTCAAGTAATGGAAATATGAACAGAAGGGTTTTGAGTCACCTGAAAGCCAGTGTGTCTTCTTCATCTGTTCCTTTGCCAACTCAGAGACCAGATGCTGATAGATGGGGGTCTTGAGGTGGAGGAAACCTAGATTCCTAATCATTGGATAAAGAAGAGTCTCTGCCACTGCAAAGGAATATTTCAGGGGCAGGAAATAAACGTTTTTGTGTGTGTGTGTTCAGTCACTGAAATTTCCAGGTTGCTATTACATGAACATGGTTATTGCACAGCATGGCCTATCCTAATACCAGACCTCAGACATTGAATCAAAGGGTATTTATTAAACAAATACTATATACACCCTCTATGGCAACAATTGTGGTAAATACTAAAGAATTTAACACAATGCTTGCCCTAAAAGAGCTAATAATTGGATTTCAGAAATAAGACTAGCAGATATAAAACAGAAAGGCATCAAATTACAGAGGCACTGTGGGGGTACTAGAGATTGAACTCAAGGACACTCAACCACTGAACCACATCCCCAGCTCTATTTTGTATTTTATTTAGAGACGGCGGGGGGGGGGGGGGGGGGGGGGGGGGGGGGGGTGCTGAAGTCTGCCTGGGCACAATTCAGGAGCCACTTGTCAAAAGAAACGAACTTTATTTTTAGAACCACACACGCCAAACAAAACATCTCCTCAGGATTGGGCTGAGGCTCTCAACAGGGTGGGGTGGGGGTATCACTGATCTGCTTAGCAACTTGCTTTTGTTGAAGCTGGCTTTGAATCCAGGATCCTCCTGCCTCAGTCTCCCATGCCACCAGTATTACAGTCATGAGCCACCGTGCCCAGCTTACAGAGTCATTTCAAAATTTTTAAATGAAATGGTACAAATTCAGAGAACAACAAGAATTCAGAAAGAAAGATTTCAGAAGAGATGGGGCTACAGTGAGATCAACTATTTTCATAGGAAATAAAATAATCCTGGATAGATCACTGGAGAAATTATCCAACTTTCCCTTTGGTAGAATATAATAGATAGCTTTTAATTTTTAATTTGTTGTGCAATTTTGAAATAACATGAGAAGTTATTCAAAGAAGTTCATTCGCCAATTGAATAATGATATTAGCAAGATTGTGTGTCCAGCATTTTGTACAGTTCCTGGCACAAAAAAACAGAATACCAGTTCCTGGAATTCTATTTAATTATCATCACAACAATCAAGGAAAGATGTTTACTTTCCCCTATTCTAAAAGTGAGGAAGTCGGGGCAAGGAGAATTTAGTTGACTTGTCCAAAACACATCTGGGAGAGCTGGAGGCCAGGCTTGTACCCAGAATATCTCAGTCCCTGTTTTTTAAACTAAAACATACCAATTTGAGTTGTATGTGTTTTTTGTTTTCTCTAAAACTGTAATCTCCTAAAATGAATACACAAAACAACCATTTAAATGATGCTGTGGTGTTTAGAAACTGCTTCCTGTACCAGGAGGATGAATTGAAGAGTTGGATATTGTTCTCTAAAGAGATGAGAATCTGTCTCCTTGTTTCCACCTGGTGTTATATTCAGGGAGCAGCATGCTGAGACTCTGGGAAACTGCAGAGGACTGAGTATGAATCTAGAAGAAAAGCTATTGGGTTTTCCAAATAAGCATCAGGCTATTTGTTAACCTGAAGCCAGGCTATTTGCTTACCAGCTCCCATGACTAACCCTCCATTACACTGTCATGACTAAGCTTTTCATCAGATCACATCACCCATAGGAAGCATTTATAGGAACATGAGTAGAGGGCTTTATAAAATTCTGTCCCTGATGCTTTTGGCCTGTGACTAAATAAGAGGAAGGCCATTGAACTCATCTGGAAGATCAATGAGGATAAAGAAGAACAAAGAGAAAGACAAAGTAAAACATTAAAAAAGGAAATTACTATTGGTTTTTAGCAATTTACTCTAATCAAAGGCCAGCTTGCCCTCAGCTCCTTGATGTTCATTACATCTTTCCCATCAGTAACCCCAGAGCCAACTACTGGATGGGATTCCCCAAGCCCCCCAAGCAGAACTGGAATCTCTGTTGTCTCCATATTTCCTACCAGACCAGTGCAGGGACCCTCACCCTGGGTCCTCAGAGTAGAGCAGTGCAGAAATAAGGCCAGGTGAGATGGCACACAGGGTTACAGCCTGACCTCACTCAGCTTCTTGGATACCCTGATATCAGATATTCAGATATCCTCTGAAGGCTGATATAACATCTGAAACAGCCAAACCCATGTTTAAAAATGGCTGCACTGGGACAATAGGACCATTTATTTAGTTTTATCACTGTCCTATTGTCATGATATCTGATCTGATCCTTAAAGTAATAATTTTCTAAATAATGTAATGATTGCCTGGCTCACTTATATTTCCTATATTTATTTGTTCATAAATTCTTTCACTCAATTTTAAGAATGTCTGTGTGCTAGTCACTATGTTTGGAATGAAAAGGTTTTGAAAGTCAATCCAATTTTTGCTGAAAAAAATCCCCAGGAGTGAGTCTTTTCAACAATAATGAATGCTAGAAAGATTATGTACATAGTAAAGTAAAAATAAAGGAAGAGAAGCATTTTGTATCTGGAAGCATGAGTTCAAATGGAACACAGAAAGTCCATGAAACCTGTCTGAGATCACCCAGTGAGGTTTTTTTTTTTTTTTTTTTTTTTTTTTTTTTTTTTTTTTTTTTTTTTTTTTTTTTTGCATGGACAGGACTATACAGAGGGTCTTCTTTTGCTCCAATGTGCTGAGTGATAGAAGAACCCAAATGAAATCCCTCTTCTGTTCACCTTCCTACTACTATAAAATTCCTTGCCCTTCCTTGCCACCTCTGACTCATCCTAGTGCCAAGACTGGCCCTGGCTGATGGTGAGGCAGCTGTGTTCTAGCAGTGGAAAAACCCTTACTGAAGTTTCCCTGAAGTCGGAAAGGGAGGTTTTCTCTGGACCTGGCCCCTCAAGAACACCAAAGAAGACACTGCCCACCTTGGTGAGCAGAGGCCACCAGCAGACAGCAGCCTGCCTCCTTTTTGTCTGGAAGCAATCTGTACCTGCTTCCATTAGGGCACATGGTACCGAGTACTGCAATGCTCCCTTCATAGAATTGCTCCACCAGATAGCCTGTCAGCTCTTCCATGGTCTGGAGGAAAGAGGACTTTCAATGTCCTCTAAATCAGTTCCCACAGGCAGTGGTGTACTCTGGCTCCCCAGCACCACTGACTGCCACATTTCAGACAGGAGGGGGGCAGGGCGCCCTCCATCCTCCAGTACCACCATAAACACACTGTCTGCACATCAGGAACCATATTCTTCAGAATATGGTTTGTGATGTCACTTCCATGTTTGAAGAGAGTGGGAATGGATAACACCTAAGGGTGAAAAGAACTTTAGAACAAACAGTTCTATTCTTAGAGTGGTAACTCTTCTTGCATTTCAATCAAAAACAAAAATGAGAAAATCATTCTGCTAGAAATATACTGTTCCCTGGTTTGAGGCAACACCAGCCAGTCCTTTCTAGGAGTCTTCCAAGTGAGACAGGTAGTTCTGGACAAGTAGTTCTTCTGCCACTCAACTACTGAGACCTTTTGAAACTGAGCAACTGATGTGTGACAAAGGGCTAAAGAGGTAAAAGAAGTTTTTGATATTCCTTTTTTTTTTTGTCTGCTGATTTATATTTCTTTTTTTATTTTTTTAAAAAAATATGGAACGCTTCTAGAATTTGTATGTCATCCTTGCCCAGAGGCCATCCTGATCTTCTCTGTATGGTTCCAATTTTCGTGTATGTGCTGCCCAAGTGAGCACCAGTTTTATATTTTTCAAAAGCTGAGAAAGAACCCTTTAGATCAGGAAGAGGACCTGTTGAAGCCTGTTCCTGGAAATATCAACAAATGGCTCCTGATTAACATATCACAGGCATCTGAGGAGAGACTTGAGATTGGTTTTCCAATGTCTCAACTTGTTGATTTGGGTTTTGTTTTGCTTTAACATTGGACAGGAACGCCCAAGGAAAGCAGAGAAGAAATTTGCTTTCAATTCAGACCTTGGGAATCCAAAACTTGATTACTGGTTTAGTTAAGGAATTAAAAAGGCTAGATATGAGACATAAGAAGCTATCACTTATTAAGCACCTACTATGTACCAGCCGTGTGTCCAACTCCTTACTTCATGTAGTCCCTAGTCCTTACGATGAGTAGTTAGGCAGCACCATTACCAACAAAGGACTGAGTTATGTGGATGACAAATTCTGGAGTCCAACAATTCTCTGAAGTGCCTAAGAAAACAATCTTCATGATCTTATTTAAATTTTAAATATATAATTCATATACAAATAGAAAAATTCTGGGTAAACATAATCCCAGAATTCTAGATGAATACAATTCCATAATACATTCTAGATTAATATAATCTCTCTAGGGAATCATGGTGAAAGTAAAACACGGAAAGAATTCTAGATTACTATAATTCAGAAATCCCAGAGAAATATCATCTCAGTGATTATATTTAAGTGGTATGATTATACGTATTTGGCATCCTCCCCACAAGTTTTAACAATGTCAAGTGTCTCTTGGAGACACCCAGTCAAACACCACTAGTCTACATAAACCCAACTGAGAGATGGGACAAAATCAAACACCAGGAAATGAAAGATATGTTAAAGAGAAATAACTCTTTGCCCTCTTGCTGAGCAAGTAGATACATCTAATACTATGCCTAGGAATTTGATTTGTGTTGTTTTAGGCTTACAAAGATGTGCAGACCCTTCATTAATGCATTCGACCTGGGATATGGGCACATCATCAGGCTTGCTTTCACCTTATTTCCCAATCAGTCGAGTTGGGAGCTTTCCCTCCACAATGCTCTTCTCGGGTTTTCCCAACCAGAGGCACTTGCCTCCTTCCCCTCAATGCTTATGGCAATTTCTTTCTTTCTTTCTAATAGAGCTTCCTTTTGTCCATGATGTACACCATATTCTATGTACTAGACAATCCATGGACACACCCATCCATTCAAACCTTCCTCAGCACCCTCCATATGCCAATCACTGAGCACATGGCTGGTTTCCTTGGTTTCTACTAGTAACCCCCACAGAGGCACATTAAACCCCTGCAGAGAAATGGTGCATAAGGACTCCAAAATGATGGGAAAATTTCAGCCTCCATGAATTTAGTTAGAATAGTTTAATCAGAAAAACCTAGAAAGGAGTTATTATTCTAAAGTTAATATACACCTGAGCTTTGTTTGCTAGCACAGTATGGTCTTTATGCTGCACAAGATGCAAAGGATGAGGATCTGCAGAATTTGCAGTGCTTGTGGCTTCTGAAATGTCTTTGTCCCACTTTGGTTAAGTGCTGGGAAGGTATGGAGGGAGCTATGGATTCTATAAAGTGTAATTTTGAATTAGAGATGTTTGGACAGAAATAGGTTCAGTGCAGGCACAAGGGGGAATGATCAGTTCTGGGATGGGAGGAGGGGAAATTAAAAGCCTTCTCCCATTCTATTCTCTGGTCACACTGGAGCTAACAGGAAGAGGAGTTACGTGAGCAGGATGATCTGGGTGCACAGGAAAAGGAAGGAAGGTGTCGCACACCGAGGACACTGAATATCCTAGTTTGGACTTCTGTCCTACAATTTGTAATATGTCCCATTGTGCCCAGTAATGAGGAACTCTCACCCACCTGATGCACCATGACTGTTTGCTGGATTAGCATAGGAATGACTTCTGCACTACAAAATGGTGTCTGTGTGTATCCTCAGTCCAATGATGTGTGTGCATGTAAGCATGTGTGTGTGTTGGGGACACGGGATGGAAAGTACAGGGTCTGGAGCCTTCTCCCTTAAACACAGCTATGCCTGGTTCTGTTTGTGTCCCAGTGATTTCATGGTAGCCCCTTCCTTATTCCTTAGTGCACTTCTCTCTACTAAACTATAGTCTTTTCTTCTTAAATGGACAAATATCCTTCCACCTGCCCTCCTATCACTCATGATAGAAGAGCTGAAAACATTCTTCTCCAAGGAGAACAAAGAACATCAGAGCTTTTTCCCTCTCCTTTGCCTCTGACCTAGTTCTGGGCCAATGCTAACCCCTCCTCTGTCTTCCCCTATTCTATGCTCTAGGGACACTGATCTTTTGGACACCAACTTCAGCTTCCCCCAGAGCCTGCTGAGCACCTATACACTATGCTCACTCCATATAATGACTTTACATTTAATTAACATGTCACTTTTTCAGGTTTCTTTCCCTAATACCCCTTACCTTTCAAGTTTCTGATAGTTCTACATGCCTGGTGGACCCTTAACAACACATTCTTCTGGTTTCTGATCTACTTCTCTAGCTTTAGTTCATATACCACCTGTTTTATTGTTTTATGTGATTTTACTGCAAACAATTCTCCATGAAAGTATTATATAATTTAAATAAATGACCAAGCATTTCCCATGTTACCAAAATGAGAGCAAAGCTTGCTTTTCTAAACCAAACTCCACTATAAACAGCCAAGACCCTTGGCTCCCTTGGACACCGGCTTCTTTCCCCTTTCACTGGTGGAGACGTGTGAGAGATGACCACAGAGGCCTCTGAACCTGAACACAGAAGAATGATTCAAAAACACGTCTTTAACTCTTAAACTTTTCTTTCTACCAATAAGTGCCATTTCCTCAAGTGTGGGATACAAATCATCTAGAAACATCTTTACATTTCAGAAGCAGAACCCCAAAAAGTCTGGTGGTGACTTTGAACATCTCTTGGAACTAGAGACTCCAAGAAGACTCTTCTGGAACCCTTGATACAGCATTCTTCACAATCGTGTGAATGAAAAGCACTTCCACAGCCATCACCACAGGCCAATACAAAAATGTCAGATTTTCTTTGAGAAAGATACAATTGTACAAAAAGAACAACAGCTGGTAAGGCAAAAGCCTGGGAACACAGGACTTATGTTTTAACACCAAAAATATTACAGAACAATGTCAGGCTTACAAATGAATACACTGAGTTTGGGGAGGCAATTTAGCAAGCCTTAAATTGTCCATATCCTTAACTGACCTTTAAATTACATTTTTGGGATTAGCATAAAAAGACCTTATACATAGGGAAACAGAACTCTAAAAACTTAGTGTAGCACAATATGCATTTCAACTCTATAAGAGACAGTATACATATGTATATACCTATAATGGAAACCCTACAATGTCAGTCAGGGGATGACATCAATGGTGTTTTATTCTGTTATTAACCTGTGTATAAAATAATTCTTTATGATTGAGGAAAACTGACCACAATAAAATTTAATTGAAAAAATATATAGAAATTGCCACGTAAAAATTCATACTAAAAAACCAATGGATATAAGAAGGATAATGGACTCCTGGGTATTTTTACCATTGTTTTACATCTTTTACAACAAAATGTATTGCTTTACTAACAAATATTTTAAAGGACATTTAATTAAGAGTTTGTATGATCATGAAGTGCTTATGTCTAAGCCAAAGTAAAATATCATGTGGAGAATTAAGAGAATTTTCCCATGATCCCAGAAAAAGATATATAAAATTGAAGAGGAAGAGGAGGGAGAGAGACAAAATAAATGTTATTTTAATTTTTGAAAATGTTATCATTGGAGAGTTTATATAGTTAGAAACTGATAGTAATTTGTAATCCTTATATCTACTTTTCTCTTTTCTAATGTTTTAAATCAGTGGGGATATACACTCAAAATGTTTTTGAAGGCAGGGGGTTGTCTCTCCCTATTTTGCCCAACTGGTCCTGAACTAATGAGCTCCAGAGATTCTCCTGCCTTAATATCCCTGAGGACTTTAAGTGCACCACCACACCTGGCTAAAAATTAATAATTTTTTAAATAGTAAAGACTGAAAATAATTTTCTTCAATTTTGCCTTCTCAACCATAGAGAAGATGATCAAAAGTGAAAGCTCAGATCATACATCCTATTTGAGATTTAAATTGATGTCACTTGTTTTTTTAAAATGTAGATTTCATATCTACTGCTGAAACTTACTTGCTCTTCAAATCTCAGCTGAGAGATCCAAATTCAAGCATGACCACCACTAGTTCTGATTTCCCTTTATCCATCACTATTAAGTTCTCATTAGGCACTACTTGCTTTTTTTGAAACAAAAAGGCAAACCAAAACAAATAGTAAAATGTCAGTTTCAAATCTGGAATTTCTGTCCAGAGATAACAAGCTGATCAAGCAAAATCCATTCCTGGCAAGAGACAAGGGCAAACATGTCTCAACTCTTCTGTTATTAGTAAAGAATCAGAAAAAAAAATATTCTTCCTGGGCATGATGGAACATGCCTGTTATCTCAGCAATTTGGGAGGCTGAGGCAGAGGGATCGCAATTTGGAAGCCAGCCTCAGTAATTTAGCTAGGCTCTAAGCAATTTAGTAAGACCGTGTCCCAAAATAAAATAAAATAAAAGGGCTGGGGATGTGGCTCAGTGGTAAAGTGCCTCTGGGTTGAATTCCTAGAAGCCCAGGAAGGATGGAAGGAAGCAAGGAAGCAAGGAAGAAAAGAAAGATTGATTAATTTTTAGAATGGGATCACACCCCACACACATACCCAGCCCTCATTCTAACCCCTAGAATGTGTGAAGATGTTATGTTGCATGGCAAAGGGAAATTAAGAATGTAGATGAAGTTAATGCCCTTAATCTTGATTGCCCTTAAAATGGGGAGATTACCATAGATTAACCCTTGGGCCTGATGTAGTCACAAGGATCCGTAAAAGTGGGTGAGGGATGGCAGAAGAGAAGGTCTGGAGATATTTGGGGTTGTCATAGC